CAAGGTCACTTTTAGTACAATTCACTGTTATCTTTGGACTTTCAGTAAGGCATGGTATTCTTAATGTTATATAATTAGCCCCTAAAATTTACACAGCTTTCATTCATTGTTGAAATATACGTGGCCGGGATATTCGGGCAAATGTCAAAGAGTGTAGCCAATTTCCAATAACAGGATTACATATAAGAAGTAAATGATTACCGGTAAGTTGTCTAATGATTGTCAACAACGATTAAAAGTACCTGATGTTATTAATTTTTTAACCAATGAAAATCTATTTGCCATTTGAAAGACACTAGTGCAGAGAATACTACGTCTTACTAAAAGTCCAAGGATGACAGAGAATTGTACTGCTTGGTTTAGTATGTACATACAATAACTCTGCAATGTCCATGGGAACACACACACTCGCCACTAGATCCACCATGAAAATTTCAATCAAGAAGCATCCTATAGAATTTATATTATGGAAACGAGAAAAAAATTATAAGTGCTGAAAAAAATTATTGTGTAAGAGTGATTTTGACAGGTCGGTCAGAGTACATAAAACAAATATTTTTTTATTGTTTGACTTCCTTTACTTAATCCTTTTAATTATGAACTCTTTCAGATATTAATTTATCCAACCTTATTCATTTTAAAGATACATAAATTACTCAAACATATCACCATTGAACGAGTTCATATTTTACCAATTGAATGACATAGTTTTAGTAATAATGTCATCAGCTATGGAGCTTGGTGTTAAGAATTTATTAAACGAATTTCAGTTATATACGGAAAACCTCGATCATTCAGTGTCCCTAGCTTAAGAATGGGATCTCTGCCTTCCAACTTCCAAGGACACGATCTCCTATAAGCACGGTGTTTAAAAAAAACAAACAAACATTACAAAGTGGAAACACTGAACATATCCATCTCCGCTTACATAGATTTTATCAATTTGTACATGGATAAAAACATGATAAACAACGTTGCACCTTACTTAGACAGACCGGAGCTTTTCCTGTGATCAGAAACCAGACGTTAAAAAGATGTGGCAAACAAACCACTTATTTGTATCTATGAATAGCGAAAAATGTATTACATAGACACAAAAAGTTGTAAAATGTGCCACTTCTCTCATTTTTTAATCAAATAAATCGCATCCAAACGACCAATGTTGAAACTGAAAGTGTTTTCTTCTTTCACTTCCGTCATAACGTCACACATGCGCATTACCGGTATATAGAATATTCCGAAGATTGAACCCGATTACTATAATGCTTGTGAATCGTGAAAACGAATTCTTGGCCGTCTCTGCAATAAATATTTAACTTATAATTTAAACCATACTTATTAATGTTCTATTAACGATAGTTTTAAATATTTAAAGCGACTTTTGCACCCAAATCATAAAAGTATAGATGTTAAAAAGATTTTTCAAATAATCATTTTTCAGCAAATTTGGTACAAAAATGTGAAATTTTCTTGTTTGATGCCCGCTGCCCCACTTAATTTTTATGCCATATAAGGGAGAGACTATTGAAAAATAACGTGTTAATTTTAAAAAGAAATCTGTAGTTAGAATATCGAACAGCAATTTATTTTTACTAGCAATGAACTTTATAATTTTGAGCTAAATATGTTTAATTCGCCCTAGAAAGTAATATTAGGTGGATCAGCAGATTAAAAAAATAATTAAACCGTTAAACAAACATATTTTCTCTATAATTCATATGTTAAAAAAATTCTTTTGCTTTTACATTTAGAAATCTAGCATAAATATCTTAATTACTGCATTTCCGTAATTTCAGGAGACAATGTCTATTTTTAGTAACAATCCTTTCTAAAGGAGGCCCGGTTGACCCCAAAATTTACACTGATCTGGAAAGGACAAATACTCAGTTAAGATTCTGAAAAGTTTCAACAAAATCTGTAGTTCCGTTATTTCTATAGCATGGTATGGATCTTTACCTTAAAGGAATTTCACCAAAATTTCTATTTTTAGTAATCATGGCAAAACCGTTCATGGAAATCAAAAACTGATGCACTACATTACGTATCATAGTGTATTCTACTTGTGTGCCAAGTTATATTGAAATCAGACCAAATTTGTAGGAGGAGTAGCGTTTTAGAGGAATTTCACCAAATTTTTTTTTTACTAACCATGGCAACACCGCTCATCGAAATCAAAAACAAATGCACTAAATTATGTATCTTAGTGTAGTCTACTTGTGTGACAAATTTTATTGAAATCAGACCAAAACTGTAGGAGAAGTAGCATTTTAAAATAATTTCACCAAAATTTCTCTTTCTAGTAATCAACGCAACACCATTTAATGAAATCAAAAACCTATGCACTAAATGATGTATCTTAATGTAGTCTACGTGTGTGTCAAGTTATATTGAAATCACACCAAAATTGTAGGAGGAGAAGCGTTTAAAAGGAATTTCACCAAAATTTTTTTTACTAACCATGGCAACACCGCTCATCGAAATCAAAAACCGATGCACTAAATTATGTATCTTAGTGTAGTCTACTTGTGTGCCAAGTTATATTGAAATCAGACCATTACTGTTGCAGTAGCGTTTTGAAAAATTGTTTACAGACAGAGGGACAGCTCGACAGATGGACGGAAGAAGGAACACCTTACTCTCGCCTAAATAGTAAGTGTTAGTATTTGGAAAAAAAAATTTGGTACTGAAAGAAGTTCTACCTTATAAACCCCCCCCCCCCTTTCACTGAAATAAGATTTTCATGTTAAGACAATTTTGTTTTTGTTTATTTTGGCTTGTGAACTTTTTTTTTTTTTGTAGGTTTGAATTTTTTTTTGCTCTTTCACTTACCCCCCCCCCCCACTTTCAATTTGCTTCCCAATGCTTGTTATGTGTGGGTATTTGGCCACTTTGGAGATGCGCTTTGTCCATAATATGACAAAACTATGTGTGGGAATTTCCCCATGAGATGACTTACTATGTGTGGGTATTAGACCCTTTTGGAGATGAGCTTTGCCCCATGAGATGACTTACTAAGTGTGGGTATTAGGCTACTTTGGAGATGAGCTTTGCCCGTGACATGTCTTACTATGTGTGGGTATTTGGCCACTTTAGAGATGAGTTTTCCCTGTGAGATGTCTTACTATGTGTGGGTATTTCCCCGTGAGATGTCTTACTATGTATGGGTATTAGGCCCCTTTGGAGATGAGCTTTGCCCATGAGATGACTATCTATGTGTGGGTATTAGGCCCGTTTGGAGATGAGCTTTGCCCGTGAGATGACTTACTATGTGTGGGTATTTCCCTGTGAGATGACTTCAGAGATGAGCTTTGCCCGTGAGATGACTTACTATGTAGGGGTATTTCCCTGTGAGATGACTTCCTATGTGTGGGTATTTGGCCACTTTGGAGATGAGTTTTGCCCATGAGATGACTATCTATGTGTGGGTATTAGGCCCCTTTGGAGATGAGTTTTTCCTGTGAGATGACTTACTATGTGTGGATATTTGGCCACTTACTATGTGTGGGTATTAGGCCCCTTTGGAGATGAGTTTTTCCTGTGAGATGACTTACTATGTGTGGATATTTGGCCACTTACTATGTGTGGGTATTAGGCCCCTTTGGAGATGAGTTTTGCCCGTAAGATGACTTACTATGTGTGGGTATTTGGCCGCTTACTATGTGTGGGTATTAGGCCCCTTTGGAGATGAGCTTTGCTCATGAGATGTCTTACTACTTATGTGTATTAGGACCCTTTGGAGATGAGCTTTGCCCCTGAGATGACTTACTATGTGTGGGTATTTCCCTGTGAGATGACTTCCTATGTGTGGGTATTAGGCCACTTTGGAGATGAGTTTTGCCCATGAGATGACTATCTATGTGTGGGTATTAGGCCCCTTTAGAGATGAGTTTTTCTTGCGAGATGACTTACTATGTGTGGATATTTGGCCACTTATTTTGTGTGGGTATTAGGCCCCTTTGGAGATGAGCTTTGTCCATAATATGACAAAACTATGTGTGGGTATTTCCCCATGAGATGACTTACTATGTATGGGTATTACGCCCCTTTGGAGATGAGCTCTGCCCCTGAGATGACTTACTATGTGTGGGTATTTCCCTGTGAGATGACTTCCTATGTGTGGGTATTTCCCTGTGAGATGACTTCCTATGTGTGGGCATTTGGCCACTTTGGAGATGAGTTTTTCCTGTGAGATGACTTACTATGTGTGGATATTTGGCCACTTACTATGTGTGGGTATTACGCCCCTTTGGAGATGAGTTTTGCCCGTGAGATGACTTATTATGTGTGGGTATTTGGCCACTTACTATGTGTGGGTATTAGGCCCCTTTGGAGATGAGCTTTGCTCATGAGATGTCTTACTACGTATGGGTATTAGGACCCTTTGGAGATGAGCTTTGCCCCTGAGATGACTTACTATGTTTGGGTATTTCCCTGTGAGATGACTTCCTATGTGTGGGTATTGATATTTGGCCACTTATTTTGTGTGGGTATTAGGCCCCTTTGGAGATGAGCTTTGTCCATAATATGACAAAACTATGTGTGGGTATTTCCCCATGAGATGACTTACTATGTATGGGTATTAGGCCCCTTTGGAGATGAGCTTTGCCCCTGAGATGACTTACTATGTGTGGGTATTTCCCTGTGAGATGACTTCCTATGTGTGGGTATTTCCCTGTGAGATGACTTCCTATGTGTGGGTATTTCCCTGTGAGAAGAACTTACTATGTGTGGGTATTTTCCTGTGAGATGACTTACTATGTGTGGGTATTTGGCAACTTTAGATATGAGTTTTGCCCTTAAGACGACTTACTATGTGTGGGTATTTGGCCACTTTAGATATGAGTTTTGCTCGTGAGATGACTTACTATGTGTGGGTATTTGGCCACTTTGGAGATTAGTTTTGCTCGTGAGATAACTTACTATGTATGGGTATTTGGCCACTTACTATGTATGGGTATTAGGCCCCTTTGGAGATGAGCTTTGCCCATGAGATGACTTACTATGTGTGGGTATTTGGCCACTTTGGAGATGAGTTTTGCCCGTGAGATGAAGTATCTAGACACCTGGTCCAGGTAAGAGGCAGCCTCAGTTTCTACCTGTCTGGCCTCTCCCATTGTTTCCTCCTGAAATCAAAAATATAAAAACTAGGTCAAAGTTAAGTAGGTCAAAGGTTGTAATTTCACACATTCTAATTCATCAGTTTTCCTTTTCTTTGAAATTAAATAATAAATTGCTTCATGCACTAACATGCAGTGACTCATTCTAATTTTCACACTGACTATTCTTTCCACCAATTCCATTAACTGATGACAATCAGAATACATATTAAATGTATTGTCTATTTTCAATAACTGATTAAAGAGTATCTCTGCATTTTTTACCTGAACTGATACACCAAAGTTATTTCCATCTTCAATTTTTGGAATCAGGAATGCAATCCACATTTTCAGCTGGAGGGAATGTAATTAAAATATAATTTATAATGATGTCAGAAATTTGTAAATATATTCAATTCTAAACATACAGTCCATAAAATGTTGAGCAAGCTATAAGTGAATGGTGAGTGAATGCTGAATGAATGCAGAATTGGGTCTGTATATTTGTGAGTCAATCTTCCATTATATCTCTGGAAATATAACAGGGGAAGTTGTCCCACTGAGTTTTCTTGATAAAATCCCATACTTATATTACATGTTCTTTTAATTTCACTCAATATCAAAATGATGCCATATAAATTTTAAACTAATTTTACCAGCAACGCTTGAGCTTGCATTTTCTGACCTAGAATTTCTACATGTATATGCAGGAATCTTGTTATAGCTAAATCCCATTCTCAAGGAGGAAAAATGAGAGTGATTACTAACATTAGGGCTAGAGGTGTGAATATGGGAGTATAGGGTTTGCATTCTCCCCCTGGAAATTTTCAGATAATGTTGCATTAATTTGTCTGCAGTTTGATAGCTAATCTGGGGGACATTTATGGAACTATCATATATATTTGTATTTGTAAATAATATATCTTAAAAATTACATGTATGTTAAAGTAGAATTTTCTTTAATAAAGAGAGGAATTTTGACATTTTTTTCAAAGGGGAAAGGTACCGTTTACTGGTAGTTAAAACAGAATTAATAAATCCCTGAAACTGGTGGTGACTTCTATACTGTATTGTGTAGATTTATACTAATAATGATCAGCTTTTGGTTTCAAATTGCTTTTTGTAAAAAATAAATAAGAATTGTGAATAAACATTTATTTCAATATTTATTGAATTTTTTAAAAAAGTTTTCATACGCATTAAAGATTCCTGCAAGTGCATTTTTAAATACAACATGTATAAATCTTGCCAATTCTTTCAGAACTCATTTGTTTGCTCATTTGCAGATAAATTGCTGACCAGTGTCACAACTTATACATATCTTACCATATTTGTGTGATCCATCAGGTCTCTTATTAATGGTTTTAACTTCTCTGCTATCACCACTAACTTCTTATTACAAGGAGCTGGACCATTGGGTAACACCATGACCCTTGTACCTGGCATCAAAACAAAGTAATGCCTAGTGTTCTCTTGATTAACAGATAAGTCAATTATGAAATTAATTTTCTGGGGAATGTGATTTTGTGGATCGAAGTCATTTGCACAAAGACTTTGAAATATTTATACAAGAAATATTAAACTATATAGCTATGTGTTAAAGGTACAAGTATTTTACATTTGACATTTTACCTGAGACATCATTATGGTTGTCATTTTCAATTTTCCTCTTTTTGCCTGCAGGCTGTAATAAAAAGAAATTCAGGAATGGTAAATATTGTTGCATCAAGATCACTTTATACATGACTTAAACTTAAAGTCTGAAACAACTTGATCAGAACTAAATCATGTCTAATAATTCAGAATCAAAAGATAGTCAACTTTAAACCTTCAACATGCAGTCTTACTCAAATACTGAATTCATCTCACTTGTTACACCAAGAAAATAATTTCAATGGTTTGAAACAGTGTTTAAAACTCCTGTAATATTGCCTAAACATGTAAAGCAGACTATTAGTTAAAGTTGTCAGCCCTTTCAAAAAGTAAGTTGCCCAAGAAAATAGCTATCTTAAATAAATTTGTTTTAGCAATAATATGAAAGGGGAAGGAGGAACACCCTGGACTTTGCAGAGTTATTAAATGTATATATTCTAATACACTAAACCATGTAAAAGTGAGGTTTGCTCCTCCCCTCCCCCAAAAGGACCCCTTTTCGAAAACATAAATCAATGTTAAGTATAGGAATGTCACCGGGTACTCGATCGAATGTCCGAGTTTCGAATACTAAAACTGGTACTCGGTTTCTCAGATGTATATTTTTTCTTTATTCCAAAGTACATATATTTATCAAAAACTTATCAAAATTAACTTAAATGTGCATTAGATAATTAGAGTGCCGTCGCCTACACCTGTAAAACACCTGTTATCGCCTGTGGCTATGTTACTTCTGCTTCACTAGTGGGGACTTTACAAAGGTGGGTGGCAGATTGATTAAAGCATCTACCCAAAAAAAAAATTGTAAATTATGTCTTTTGTGTGTGTGTGTGTGTCTTTTTTAATAAATATAATTAGGTAAAATAAATCATTTTCATTGGACTCGGTTGTTTTTAAACATGCACTCAAAATGCAATAAAAAAACATTGATGTTTAACAGAGTTTAACTGGATTAAAATAAATTAATGAACATGTATTTACAATTTTACCGAGTACCCAGGTACTCAATTGGAAAATCGTCCAAGTAACCGATTATCAAATATTTACCAATTTGACATCCCTAGTTTAGTAGGTTTGAAAAGTCCTTGGTAGGAACAATATTTTATGTATCTTCCATGTAGATCTGCTGTATGTACCATATCTATAAATTGTTTGTTGATCTGACACTAACCTCATCTCCTGATGCATTGTTTGTAAATAGGATAGGGTCTGGGCAAGGAATGTTGAGGTCCACATGTATGTCTGCCAGTCGAGACTTTGTCATGCTCTAAAGTAAAAATATGTGACCTTAACATGAAAAAATATACAAATAAACAAATGTAAATGCAAAATTACTAATACAATATAGAGCTATTTTCAGGTATGGTCAGGACAGAATTTTTTTCTAAAAGTAATTCTGGTTGAATGATCTATATATAGCTTTTGAGTTTTTTTGAGTTTTGCTTGACACCCCCCCCCAAAAATGCAAATTCACAGAATTCTAGTTCTCCACTTTCTGATTTGGGGATACAAATATCTATGACACTGTATATTGTACAAAGCTGTGTGTCACTTATCAGTCCAACAAGCTGAACTGCTACGGCACATGATATGCCCATCAAATAGCAAAAATATCGATCATAAACAGATGCATGGAAGAAAGTCATATCAAATATTAAAATTTCTTCAGGACTGGTAAATGACCTGCATCCCCTAGCTATGCAGTAAATTAATTTTTAAAGATAATAATAGACTTAAACATTATAAGATTACTGTAAACCAACTTTTATTTGCGACGACTTTATTTCGCGATTTGCCAGGGGTAAACAAGTTCGCGACGATTAATTTTCGCGATAAAAGCCTATTTAGGCTTCCTTTTAATAGACACATAGACTGGTTCGCGGCGAGAAATATTCACGATGACGAGGCTCTCACGAACTTCGCGAAAATTTCTTGCACGCGAATAAAAGTTGGTTTACAGTATAAGAAGTTTCTGAAATGGTCATGGCACAAACACCAAATCTGCAGCTTGTTTATTGTGAAAGAAGAAGAATCCCACTGCTTTGTGGAAATGTGAACATAATCAAAATACTAATATGATGGCACTGGCAAAAATTTTGCCTCAGTCTATAATTGGTCAAATCATCTTAATTGAAGGACATAATGACCATATTATATATACAATGTGAGAAAAGTTCCATCTACTTTACATGCATATTTATCTGTACAAGTTTGAGTACTCAAAGCAAAATACTTTTCCTGTTATGAGCTAAACAGGGTTTTAAATGTTTGGCATTATCTTCTTTATTAATTAAAGGTCAAAGTGTCTAAATTTTAACCATCACATTTAAACTGTATACTCAAGATGATCAGCAGACAAAGTTTGATCATTCTAGGTCTCATACATGTCCATGTAGTCATTAACAAATGTATCAAAATGTTCCATTTTTTAATAAATATGTTCTACCTTCTGGTGCAAAAGTTAACGCTATGCGATTAACAATTTTTAAAGTCAAAATGTCTCAATAATTAATAAACCTGCATGATAAGATAGAAAACCTTTGGCTGATAAAAAAAAATACGAACAAAATAATGAAATCAAGTTTGTATAGTTCCTCTACCTGATACAGTTCTTCTAATTCTAATATTTTTGCTGGAAACACATCCTGAACTAAGTGATCACCCTGAAAACATAGAAATTTTTAAAATTAGAAGGAAAAAATCTCTTCATTTTACAATGTATGAGGGTTGTCCCAAAAAGTCGTAGACAGGGGAAAAAGTTTAGCTTCTTTTTGCTAAATTAAATTTCTTTTCTTATCATAGCAAAGAGTAACATTTTATGATCATGCATTTCAAGTTTCATGATAATATCACATTTGATAAGAAAATTATGAAAATATAAAGAAAGCATGTAAGTTTACATCAACGCACGAAAGCAAGCGTAATTTAATTTACGTCTCCTATAATGTCATGATCTCTTTTTCTGCTACACACGCTGTTCACATCCTAATAATATTTCCTAATGTCCCAGTCGATATATTTAGTCAAAAGATCACCGTGTGGACTTTGTATTGTATGTAACAAAAAAACCGTCGTTCGTGGAACAGAACGTTCCCTACTGTCTGCATTTAACAAACAGTACTCCACTTCTTACATGCGGTAACTATTTATCAGTATATATATGTAGGAAAACACTATCATTGAATTTCAGACCATTTAAAAATAACTTCTCTATAATAATATAGTGTGAAATGTTACTCCTGTACCTTTTTTCCCATCTCTGGTATATATAACAATATCCAAAACAATTTATCACATCTCTGTGCACCGGTTACGTGTTTGACGACGTCATTTTAATCAAACTCAATTCCAACAACACTTTTAAAATCATGACACCAATCGTCTGTTTCTAAAGCTATTCATAGGAAAATTTGACATGATATCAAGATTTTGATTCTGGTTTCACTGATTTAAATTTGAGTCCAATGTTTTACACAGTGTGAAAGAAATAAAAGCAAATGTAATAGTTATAAGCATAAATTATTCCGAAATTTATTCATGCCCCGACACAGCATGCTGGCCTTCATATAAATAAATATAATACCAATATAATTAATATGAAGGATATATATATATATCAATTCTAAAGAACATTCAATATATTACATGCAAGTCTATGCAAAATTTGGTTTGTATTGGTTGCATTTTTAAAAAGCTATAAACATTGTCTACAACTTTTAGGGACAACCCTCTTATATATATCTGTCTTATTTTACGAATTACAAAGGTTTTTATGCATATGTTAATAAATGTACTATCTAATAATATGTTATCTGATAAAATAGCACCTCTTTTTTGAAGTTGTCCTTGAACTCTTTAACCTGAAAAATAGAAGAAGATGAAAAAATTAATGTTCAAAGTCTTAACATAAATGCTTTATAGAGGTTTTATTGAAAAGCAAAGCAATATAATACATGCATATGTAGCAAAGAATGACTGCACTTAAGCTATGAGAGTTGGAACCCGATGCTTTGCGCAAAATAAAATTCCAAAATTCATTAAATTTATGTTTAATAGGTATTAAACAATGTCTTAAGAGCAGGTTTTGGTGTATTATATTACATGAAAGTATTAAATAATGCCGAGCGACACTATCTTTTGAGACGGGGGTCTTACAGTTTTGTCTCATTTCTATTGTTATTCATATGCATACCAGTTTTCAACGACTTTGTTTACATCGAGCCGCAACTTGACCATTTTTCTTATTTGCACAGAATGTGTATTTTACTTTAAACCTATACATATCCAAAGGACAATGTTGGTCAAGTTGCGGCTCATATCTAATTTTTTAAAAAATGTACCCAAACTTCGCTCGAGTTAGCTTCTAAATTAGCAAGTCACCGAGTGTCAGCCCATGTGACCCGTTTGATATTATAATCACTTTTCTCACGTGACATTCAATTGTTCGATACGCTTTTATTGTGTCAGTCGTTGGAAAATTCTTTTTATATCTACATGTACTTCCATTTTCAAAACATTTAAGATCACTGTGTACAATTCATTGGCGTTTTAAAGTTTACGTTGACTTCTTTCACTATAGTGTTTTTGTTCGGAGCATTTAAAAGAAAAGGGGTATTATTTTGCCGATTACATGCTGTACATATAGCAGTGGGGGATCCAGAAATTTTGAAAACGGGAGCCCGACCAGTTTTAGGTCAGGGTAGGAGCCCACGGTCACACCAAAAAAAAAATAAACTTTTTATTTTATTTTTCCGTTACTAATTAATTTAGTCCACAATTATTATTCAAGATGATTAAGATAAAGTGAAAATGTCATTTTTTTAAATACACGTTGTAGGTTCGAACACATAATTTATAATTATTTAAAGATTTAGTTAATTCGCTGCTTGACAGCAAATACTACATGAGCAGTGAGATTTTAAGTATTACAATTTTAAAAGAACGTTAGCTAGAGAAAATTATGCAGTGCTTGATAATGTAGAAGCCGAAATTCATTTTCTTTAATGCATTGTCCTTTGTACTCTGAATAAAGATCAAAACTCTTTTGAAAATTATCTCTGCCAGTAATCAAATGGCATCTCATTTATGGATTTATTGTGTGTACTTATTTCAGATTATCCTATAGACAGGTTGCAAATTATTTTTCATTTACGCTGAGACAGTCCATTATGTTCAGAAAATAAAAATGTATTTCAGTGTCATTTTCATCTACCAATAATTCTTTAAAAAGACACTACAAACCTAAGCGTACAAAATGCAGACATATATTTATCACAATTTTGTTTAATTTTATGAACTTTTTGTTTTTCTCTTAATGTTCAGCTCTTTACTTACTTTACTTACTTACGTGGATACAAATTAAAGAAATTATATGCATGGTTATAAATCATTTATTTTTTGTACACAATGAACACAAAACCCTCCTCTCCGCCTTTTTCATATATAATGTAAATCAAATACGGAAAACCATGTGCTTATGATCCATTTCCATGCGATTTAAATGTCTCCGCCCCTTTGCTGCCACCTTAAAATCGAAAGCGGTCCAGTTCAATTTTCCGGAATTTATGGCTTAAACATGTTCTTTTCAACAGGGTTGTATGTAATTATAGAAATATGCATGACGAAAAATTCTAGAAATAAATATCAAAAACATATGCTTGCACATTAATCATAGATTAATTTAGCGATATATTGTAATGTTAAGCTTAAAATGGGTAACCGAAAAGGTTCCAAATAACGTCCTTAAGTGCAGTCATTCTTTACAATTGTTGATTGTCAGATTCCGGATTGTTAGCTACTTGTTATTAATTTCCCATTTAGCTGTAGCTTATCTTTTAGTAAAAAAGATCAGTTTATTGCCCTTTGAATTGATTATAGTGATAATTAGTTAATCACAGGTTGTCATTCAATGTATAATTTTATGTATTGCCTCCCCACTTAGAGGAGGTAAAGTTTTCACTCCCCATTTTCATTGTGGAGGCTCGACAGTTTACTACTGTAGATCACTTAATTTTCGCGAGACCTTATTTTCACGAGAATCAGATAGTCATTGACTTGTTATTAACGAGACAAAATTTTCACGAATTGTGGTCATTGCCCTATATAATCTTAAGGAATTCAATTATACGCGAGAATGAAATATTCGCGAGCATACTGCCTCGCGTAATTACGCGAAAATAAAGTTCTCGCAAATAGAAAGTGATTTACAGTATATAAATGAGCCAATTTTATCATTTGGAGTAGTTGAAGAAAAGTTGTTATTAGATAAAGTTGCAGCAGTTGTGTTGTTATAATGCTAGTTTTAGAAATCAAAATGGATTTATAGTGGATTGCAGGATTCTAGGATTTTTATATATTTCAACTGGATTATTTTTCTAGTGCTGGGATGATATATCGAAATATTGATAATATGATATCGATTCTGCGTGAGGCTGATACAAATATTGATGCATATTATGAAGAAATATCGAAATATCACAAAAAAATTCTGATTTCTGTTTTTCTTTGTTTATTTAACATTTGGGGTTTAATATATAAAACAAATAAGCTAAATATAAATATAGATATGAAATAAATAATAATTTACACCACATAAGTAAAATATTTTGTTTTTACAACATAAAAACAACTCTTTTGAATAAATTATTCATATTCGCAAAGAAATTTTTTTGTGTTTATTTCAATGCAAAAAAAGATTTTATAACCAATTTAACAAATCAATATGATACGTATCGTGGCTCAAATATCATGAGTATTCAATGTAGAAAAAGTTGTATAGTCCCAGCCCTGTATTTTACCATTGTTTCTAATGTGGACTTTGTGTGCAAGCGTGTAAATATTGTGTGTAGATATATATGTAAATAAATAAGTGAACTTTTATATGGACTTATTAATTATGCAGCACAATATTGAGGAAAGATGAAAATCTAAGGAAAGAACCAATCGGACAATAAAAGTGTAGTCCCTCGGTAGTGTGAGCGGACTGCCCCGCAGCTCGGCCTATGCTACGTATACATCCTCAAGGCTTTAAGCAGGACAGTAAAATTGAAACAGAAAATGTTTAATCATGAACAGACAGTTTCTTCATAAGATTAATTTATAGATAGATTTGTAGATAGTTGAAGTACATTATGTTTTACAGCTGCAGATCATTGAAGTGAGCTGCCTGATAGAATTATCTCGTAACTTTAATATTAACCAGGTCCGGTACAATCACCAGATTTAGCTACGTAGCTTGATTTACCTACTTAGATTTATTTACCTATCTGAGGTAGCTTTATTTAGCTACCAAATCAATTTATTTCTGTAAAAAAGCACTTTCTTAGGATGTGCAGAAAATCTCATTTTGATGCAGTGATCATTTTCAACTTTGAACTCATCTGAAAACAATTCATGAAATAATCACTCTTGAAGAAATGTCTTTTTCTGCACAATTGCAATCAAATTTCCAAAAGTTTTGGGGCTATGTAAGACAATTAAAACAGTTACTCCTTGAATGAAATGAAAAGAAATTCAGTTCTGGTTAACTGATGTGAAGTTATCATACTCAGTCATGCCTCACCGCACACAAGAGAGGGGACAGTTAGCCATACAACAGAATTACCGGTACATGTTTTTCTCTAAATTGTCCAAACACAGCACTGTATAAACTATCTCTGCTTTGGATTATTTTTTTTACACCTCCCTATTTTAATTATTAATAGTCACTGACTTTCGATTTTTTGTCTCTTTTTAATAACACAGAAAAATTTAGAAAAATTGCATTGAAATAGCTAAATAAAGTTACCTGGGGTAGGTAAATAAAGCTACGTAGATAATTCTAGTATTCTACCTATGTAGCTAAATCTAGTGATTGTAATGGACCTGTTAACACCGTAGAACAAATTCGGGAAAAAAAAATAATGAAATCTTGACCTCATACATCAAATAATGAAATGTATATCACCCTGAATCTTCTTTGCGAAAAAGGAATCTTTCGAAATGGAACTTATCTTCAATAGTATAACGAGAGTAAAATTTTATTTTGTTTACAACAAAGGATAGCTGCAGATCTGTAGCTCTCCGAAAAAAATTATTGATAGACCGGAGAGCTACAGTGCCACCCATTGAAAAAACTGTATATTTATTGCGCACAAAAAAGTGCGCTCGATTCTTGATTAATTTTTCCAAATTCTTACCTCAACTGCAAAAATGGAAGATTTCAAAAAATTACTTTCTCCTGTATCAAGTTCTCTCGTATTTGACATCTGAACGAAGCACATTGGACCGAATTATCTTTGAAACCAAAATGGCAGTATAAATAAGAAAAATATTCGATGATTACAATATCAGGGCCAGGAGGACTATTAACAACGATTATGAGGAATCTTTTGTTTTTGAAAGAGTCAAAGAATATGTTAGGAACACACGGTTAGTAATATTTTGAGATTACAGCTTTAAAAACATGGAGAAATAAATCGAGAACCGAGCGCATTTTTTTGTGCGCAATAAATATACAGTTTTTTCAATGGGTGGCTCTGTAGCTCTCCGGTCTATCAATAATTTTTTTCGGAGAGCTACAGATCTGCAGCTAAACAAAGGATATCCCATATGTCATGCTGTACTCGCGATTTCATCTGAACTAAGACCGTGTCGTAAAATAAATAGACCCTTTCTTTGTAGCGCATCAATCCCTGGTCATGAAAAAAGAATAGACATAAAAGACATGCCTTTTGTAGCGTATCCGATCTTTGGGAATCTTTACTTCCTTTCTTTGACATCGCTATAAGATTATGAGGATGTAGCGCCAAATTTCAATGTGGCTTTATTTCTCGGCCTTGAACTTTAAGAGTATGACTATTTATGCTTTTCTCATGTCTGGAGAGCGTCAGGAAAGGGAGATAAATTGAGCTATTTTACCAATAGGTGGCGCTCGTCTGTTGTCAAGATCAACCAATATTCTTCGCGACCAAGAAGTTAATGTTGGCGCTATTCTTCAAACTGTGTGGATAAAGAATATTTTAGAAGCGGATACAAACAAAAATTGTAAGTAACATAAAGCATATCATCTTATGCGAGCAGTAATTTTAACAATAAGGGTGTCTGATATGATATCAAAGTGGAAATGTGAGGGGATGGAGGTCATTGCAGATGAAGCCTCCTTATTACTTTTTTTGGAGGGTGGAAGGTGGGGTGGGGGGTCCAACACATTTCGTTAATGACTTATTTCTATCTGGATTTGTTTTGGTAAAAAATATTTCCTATCTTGTGTAGATCTTTAAAGCTGGAATTGGTTTTTTAATAGTGTTATACCCTAAAGTTAAGTTATACCCTTCCCTTGATTCCTTTGTTAGAAAGGTCACTGACATTGCAACGCAAGACAAACGACTTGTATTTATGTACAAAGGAGTTCTAGCATAATTTATTTGTTTATCGACAAAACAGTTTATCCGTTGACGTTTAATCACTGATCACCCCCCCACCCCCGTCTTTTCTCCCTTACCCAATAACATGCAACATCACAAATCAAAACCACAAATTCCATAATTTAATGTAAGTTAATGTCCAGTTTGTTGACACGTAAACGTATAGACGTGAACTTAAAGTTGCAAAGTTTAAACCATTTTAGAATCGGTTCCTACCTGGAAAAAGGGGAGGTAATATTACTACTTCCGCCCAAACTTATCGCCGTTAGGTGGCCAAATTCTCGTCTGTTGTCAAGAACAACAGTGTTGTTCGTAACGGCAAAGTTAATGTTGGCGCCATCCTTCAATTTTCTTGTATGTAAGTAGACACTTTTATACAATACATAGGACTATGATATTTGACTAGATTTTGATTAGGAGTCGATGTTAAAATGTTTTACAGTTAGGTACCTAGGGCATCATTGAAAATATCTTTGTTTCCCCTAACCCGACCCTAAATTCTCAAGTTGGGTAGGTAGGTAGGTAAATATTTTTTTTTTCTGATAACAACTTTGAAAATACATTCTGAAATTTATAGAATAATACCTTTATCAGAAATGTACCAAAATAAATTATAAACATCATATCATACAGTGTACCAATGCCAATAAAGGCAATATTTAAGATAAATAGATTTATAAATAATTATTACTTATTTCAGCTTGTTAGATAGCTCACACCACTGACCAGTGTAAAATCATTGAAATCAAATAGAGTAAATGTTTCTATTATCAGACACGCGGGGATCTTCGGACAATAAAGTAAATAGCTATGACCGTACATGTAAAAACTTAGCTCCAGTGTCGCAATAAATGCTGGCACAAAAGAGATACATGTAATGCTGAGTACTTGTTAGTCAAAGTTTGGAGCCTTTCACCTGGCAGATGATTAAATGTCATTCCAAAATTCTCAAAAAATTAAAGCAATTTAAAGAAGCAACAAATCTTCAAGAGCCAAATTTTAGAAAAATACAGCATGGCGCAAAGGTTAGAGCGTCTGCTCTAGAGTCGAGAAGTAAGGAGCTGATCCTTAGGTCTCGGGTTCGAATCCACTGCAGGACATGGAGTCTGGTCCTTCGGATTAAACCGAGGCACCATATTCGAATCCATTGCCGGACATGGAGACTGGTAAACTGAGGTTCCATGTCGCAGAAGGTGTTGGCACGAAAAAGATCCCTCACTGCTCAATGGCCCTAAGTGCTAAGTATAGATGTAAAGGATAGTAGTAAGGGCGGACGTATACCCCCCTTAACAATGGGAGTCTATTGTGTTGGAGAACAATAGAAGAACAATGGGGGAGAACAATGGGGTGACCCTGACCGAGATCTAGTTAACGATATGACCCTGACCGTATCGGTTACTGAGAATGAGCACGGGTATTTAAATGATGGTGAAATGGGATACAGGAGCACTTACACGAATGGATGGACACGGGTATTTAATTGTCAAAGTTGGGAGGGAGAGCAAGAGAAGGGCAACAAGTACTCTAAGACTTTGTCATAAAAAAGAAATGTTGAGATTGCTCGCGCGCACCGCCGCCGCCGCCGGCCGGAACACGTGGACTCCGGGGACCGAAGCTACCGGAAACCGTGGACTCCGGAGACCGTGGACTCCGGAACTATTTTAGATGATTATAACATTCCGGGAGAATAAAATATTAAATAACAAAAGCATTTCTGAGGGGAAAAATTATGTGTGCATTTTACAAATGCATGCTGTTCTTATAAAGAACGCAGATAGATCTTATATATATTTTTACTAACGCCACCATATTGTGGTGGTGGTGGTGGTGGAGAATATAATGACAAAAACAAAACACTATGATTTTTTGTAATTTTATTCGGACTTGATTTCCATTTTCAACAATATAAAATAATGCACAAATATCATTACAAAATAAATGTGTTAGTTTATTCATTTTCTTGAAAGAGGTGATTAAACTTGACATGGTGTTTGTCGAGAATACATGATATTGCATCTTCAAGAGGCACGTCATTTTCATTGATAAGAGAGAGAATTTCCTGACGAATACTCCTGTGCGACGCACTTTTCATGAGGCAGGCAGACGGTTTTAATTGTTCTTTATAATTTTTCAAAAGTAAATCTCTGTCTTTTCCCAGCATCCGTTTCATGGTCGTTTCCCTGGCTTCTTCCGTTGGAACTCCTTTTTGAACTAATTTGGTAACTTGGTCCTGGAATAAAGGGTCATGTTGTTTCCAGACGGTGTTGATCATCATATCAAAGCCGACTGTATCGTCCTCATCATCTGTTTGATCGCTACTGTCCGTGTCTTCCTCTGAGTCTTCCTCACAGTTGCAGCCAAGTGCGGTGTGACGACCCAAGTCGTAAGATGTAGCAAACACGAGACCACAATCAAGGCAAAATGGTTGCAAAATGTTGTTCTCACTTCGTTTGAGTGTAACCTCGCTGAAATCGACAGGAGGCATTTTTTTCAAGAAGATATTGGTTTGTAATCGCTTGGATTCTGGTGTGGTTTGCTTTAAATCTACGACAAGGGATCCGTGAGGCGTTTCATCAACGGCTTTGTGATAGGCATCTAGCAATATGTTGGTATGTCCAGGATACATTTGACGAGCGAGGTTAGAGATCTGCAGTTTGTCTCGCGGATTCTTAAAGAGAACCAAATATTGGCTGTTCAGGTTCATTGTCCTATTTTCTTTTCCACTGTTGAATAGGTTCTGCAAAATGCAAACTATGCTCATGTTTCTGTGGTGGGCACCCTCCACGAATATTTCACATACATCTTTATTTGTAGTAGAATCTTTCATGAGATCGTCGATGATTAAAAGTGTGTTTTCGTCGGGGTTCTGAAAGTCGTCGCTGTCAAGGTCAGCCGGTAGTCCTTGGATGAACTCAAGGATAGGTATTTGTCTTTTGAGGTCCTCATACAAGGGCTGCCATCTTTTATACAGCCAAATGATTCGGTCAGGAGACGGTGAGATGAAATTTGGTCTTTGAAGTAAAAGTTCTTTCATCCATGTTGATTTTCCCGACATAGTAGGACCCGCAATGACCATGGTAAACGGATGCTGAAATTTAAATTGGTTGTGACCGCCATCGAAATGAATGCCTCGACGATATGGATGTTGCCCTGCATGAGCGGTTCTCTCGTGTCTTCTTAAGGCATCTGTGCGTGAAAAAATTTTATGACATATGTTGCAAGGTGTGGACGACATGGTGTTCTTCGTGCAAATGACGGCTTGTCCGATTTACGTCTTACTTAATTATTACATTCGAACCCTCTTTCCAGGTGGCCCGTTACCGTTGTCCTTGATCGTTCTCTTCAGCGGCATATGTGGTCTTCCTTCTTTGATGGGCTCTTTTAGCACAGAATTTGCTCTCTCTACTGCTGCTTTTGCTGGGGAAAATCGCTGGTACAGCTGTTTAAAAGTCTTGTCTATTTTGACAGTTTTAACCATTTTGCGACCATGTCTTGGCTTCCTTTGAATGATGTGTACGTCTTTCGTCGCCCAGACTCTAGGGTCTGAGATATAAGTATTCTTATAGTACTTTTTTTTTATCCATGATGCGAACTGGTAAACGTCGAAAACACGAATGAAGGACGCGTCTTAACGAATATCCTTTTAAGTTGATGAATACGATTGATTACCTATGGCTGACAATCGAAAAGTCAGAGTAGTATGACCTCCCCGTTCAAAAATGTAGCTGGTTCATTGTCTTTATCTCTGATTTCTATGTGAATTTTTTCAAACTCTTGAATTCGCAGTGGCACTTGGAATGGTCTCGTGAAGATTTGATTCCTGTTAGGCTCCAAAACAATATGCCTCAGTAACGGTCTGTACTGTTGGCTCACCACGGACACTGTGTCACAGACGTCGCAGTAGATAAAGAGCTCTTTCTTTGTGGTTTTGGCAATGCCTTTGACATAGAATTCGCTTAGTTCTACAGTCCATTGGTCCGTAAACACCAACCATTTTGGTAATATGACCGTAAAATCGTATCGTTGATTGCCTGGGAACATATCTTTGCTTTCAGAAGATCTGAGAATGTGTGATGTTGCCATCCTCTGCAGTAATGAAAGGGTTTGCGAGTACAGGGGTATTATATGCTATGTCCCAAGAAAACCCACAAATTAAAGCAAGTCTGCGCAATTCGATCCAAAAATTTACGATTTATCATCTAAAATAGTTCCGGAGTCCACGGTCTCCGGTAACTTCGGTCTCCGGAGTCCACGGTTTCCGGTAGCTTCGGTCTCCGGAGTCCACGTGTTCCGGCCGGCGGCGGTGCGCGCGAGCAATCTCAACATTTCTTTTTTATGACAAAGTCTTAAAGTACTTGTTGCCCTTCTCTTGCTCTCCCTCCCAACTTTGACAATTAAATACCCGTGTTCATCCATTCGTGCAAGTGCTCCTGTAT